GCGGCGGGCGAGGGAGGGGGGAATCGGGAGATTTTGGGGAGATCTTTGGTTGTGAGGCCGAGAAGAAGAGGTACGGTGGGGGGGAAGGGAAGGGAAGATGGGGAGGAGTGATGCGTGCGCGTCGTGGCGGTGGGGTGGGGTGGCCTGTTTATGTGTGTCGCTGTCGCGCGGGCCCGCCAGCGGGATTAAATAGGATTGGTTAGGGGGGTGACGCGGCGGGCAACTGAGGTGAGGTGAGGTGAGGTTAGTGGTGGATGGCATGCCACTGTCCCACTCCCACCTGCTTCTGTTACGTCGCGGCGGTTGGATCCGCCGGGTGCGCTCATCTTGACGCGCGTCTAGAAGACTCTCGCTCTCTCTTCCTTCCTTTTTCTTCGTTTCTTTGCGCACGGGAAGGCTCTCCCACAAGGTGTTGTTTTCTTTCTGCATAACAAAAGGTGTTATTCACTTTCTATGGTGGTACGTGCCTTATTTATGATAATTATTCTAGTACGCACCGACCGGATGAAACTAAAGGACAGCGGAATGATATCATTTGCACAAAGAAACACCAGCCATGGAGGAAGATGTAGGGGGGGACTGGGATCAATTTGGCCCTGATCCAACCCTAGAGGATGTGTTTGAAGGTATGAACCTACACGGGGAAGAGGAAGAAGATTTGGACCTGTCCGGGGAGGTAGAGGATCTGATTAAGGAGGTGCGGTGGCTGGCGCTTTTTAGGGTTCATACCATGAGATCTTTTAGCCATGCCGCCCTGCTGAATTCCATGAGGAACGCTTGGGCCTGTGCACAAGGAGTGACTTTCAACATTAAAGGTCCAAATATGTTTCTGGTTCAGTGCCATTGCCTAGGAGATTGGAAGAGGGTGATGGAAGGGGGACCATGGCAATTTAGAAGAGATCCTGTTGTGCTTGTTGAATATGATGGATTCACAGACATCGCTGAATATGCACTTGATATGTATCCACTATGGGCGAGAATAAAGGGACTACCGGATGGACTGACTAGGAAGAAGGAGCTTGCGGAGAAGGCGACGAATGTTAATAAGCCCCTGGTGAGATTTGTCCCAATCACGTTGAAAGAAAGTAAGAAGTACCGCATCAGTTATGAGAAGCTCCCAGACTTTTGTTTCTTCTGTGGATGCATGGGACATGTTGTGGAGGAGTGTGGAGATGGGATACATGACCCTAGTACTTGTGAATGGGGTGATTACTTGCACTGGAATAATGATAACAATGGAGGAGGTACCGGTGGGGGGAGAGGAGGAGGATGGATGGGTTCTGGAAGGGGAGGTGGAGCTGCTGGTGGCCGTGGTCGAGGCGGTAGAGGGGATGGTTTTGGAGGAGGAGGCGGAACGATGGATCTTTTGGTGCAAATGACAGAGGTGGTGGATCTAGCTCGCATACGAACCGACCACTTGGCTCGGTCAATACTATTGGAGAGGAAGGGAGGAATGTCCGCAAAAGACTGATTAATGCAGATGGGGTGATAAATGTGAGGGGGCAGGCAGTACCTAATTTGGTAGGGAAGGTGTCTAACACTGTGTTAATGATCGAGCAACGGAGTATTGCCGAAAACTCGGGTGTAGTTGTGCCTTTGACCTCCACTCCAGGCAAGGTACCCATTGTGAAAAGGAGAAGACGGGGTGAAGAAATTGAGGGAGAAGTTGCAGAGATGTCATTTGAGGCGGCCTCCGTTGCGGAGGACCGCCGAGCCCAATGATTCTTCTAAGTTGGAACTGCCGGGGAGGGGGGAATTCCCGGACAGTTCGTGAACTAGCGACTTTATGCCAGTCGCATTCCCCCACTTTGGTGTTCTTGTGTGAAACTAGGCAGAAAAGTGAGAAGATGAAGAGGATTCGGGGCCGTCTTGGCTTGAAGGGTTTTAGTGGTATTGATAGTGATGGCATGAGCGGTGGACTTGCGCTTTTTTGGCATGAATCTTATGAGGTGGATATTGTGGATAAAAATGAGCGTTATATTGATGCTCTAGTCCGAGTCAATAGAGATGCGGAGCAGTGGAGGGTCACTTGTGTTTATGGGGAGCCAAGAGTGCAGAACAGAAACCTCATGTGGACAAAAATACAAAACCTGAAGAACATAAATGACTTGCCATGGCTTGTACTGGGAGATTAATGAGGCAATGTGGGATTTTGAACACATGTCAGCAACACCTAGAGCTGAATGCCAGATGGTAGCCTTCAGAGATACTTTGGAAACTTGCGGACTGGTTGATCTTGGCTTTGTGGGTGTCCCGTTCACTTATGATAATAAACGAGCAGGAGCAAGGAATGTGCGTGTGCGCCTAGATAGAGCAGTTGCCACAAATGCTTGGAGGAATATGTTTGCTTTCTCGTCTGTCCAGCATGTTCCGTCACCGTGTTCTGACCATGTAGTCTTGCTGCTAAAAACTGCAGTTGATGAAAGACCAAAAGGACCTAAGTGCAGAAGATATGAAGTATTCTGGGAGAGGGATGATGCACTACCAGAGGTAATAAAGAACGCATGGGAAGCTGTAAGTGGCGTACAAAACCTCGGACAGCTGCGGGACGCACTAACGAAAACAATGCTGACACTTAGTGCCTGGAGCAAAAAGTTTGGCAATATCACTAGGGAACTAACCAAGTCTAGGTCGCAATTGGAGGAACTCATGCATATGAATGCGAACCAGCAAGATATTCGGAGGGTAACGGATAAGATGAATGAGTTGTTGTACCAAGAGGAAATGATGTGGCTTCAAAGGTCTAGAATCACATGGTTGAAGGAAGGTGACCGCAATACCAAATTCTTTCAGAGTAAGGCTGTATGGAGAGCAAGAAAAAATAAGATACGCGAACTCACAGACAATATTGGTGTTGTGCATTCAGATTTCGCTAAGATGGGGGAGCTGGCAAACGAGTACTTCCATAATATTTTTGCCGCTGATCCCTCTCTTGATCCTTCACCGGTCCTTGATATGTTGGAGGCTATGGTCTCGGAGGAGGACAACATCAAACTATGTGCGCCATTCACTAATAAGGAAATTGCAGATGCGTTGTTTCAGATTGGGCCACTGAAGGCCCCGGGTCCGGATGGCCTTCCGACGAGGTTTTTCCAGCGAAACTGGAGCACTATTAAGGAGGATGTTTTAGTTGCGGTTAAGGAATTTTTTTGGACGGGAATAATGCCGGAGGGAGTAAACTCTACTGCCATTGTTCTTATTCCTAAAATAGTTAACCCTGCTAAGATTTCAGATTATAGGCCCATTAGCCTTTGCAATGTTATCTATAAAGTTTTATCGAAATGCTTGGTGAATCGACTTAGGCCACTTTTGGATGAGTTAATATCTCCAGAACAGAGTGCTTTTATCCCAGGCAGGATGATAACAGATAATGCTCTTATTGCCTTTGAATGCATCCATTACATTAAGCAGGAGAAGGATCCAACAAAGAGTTTTTGTGCTTACAAGCTAGATTTGTCAAAGGCATATGATAGAGTGGACTGGGTTTTCTTGAGGCAGATGATGCAAAAGAAGGGTTTCTCTCAACGATGGATTGACTGGGTTATGACATGTGTCACATCGGTGAGGTATTCAATAAAGTTAAATGGGACCCTCTTGGATTCATTTGCACCGACGCGTGGGCTTTGGCAAGGTGACCCTCTTTCACCATTTTTATTTCTTCTTGTGGCGGATGGCTTGTCAGCAATCTTAAAAAATAAAGTGACCGTGGGAGAGATCACTCCAGTGAAAGTGTGCAGGAGGGCGCCTGGAGTTTCCCATTTGTTATTTGCTGATGACACACTGCTATTTTTTGAGGCCTCTAGTGCCCAGGCAGAGAATGTGAAAGTTGCTCTGGATTTATATGGATCTGCAACCGGTCAAAGTTTGAACTACAACAAGTGCTCAATATTTTTCGGCGCTGCATGTACGGTTACGATACAGGAGCAAGTAAGAGATGTATTGGGAGTCACAAGCTTGCTGTTTGAGGAAAAATATTTAGGCCTACCTACACCTGAAGGACGGATGTCTAAAGGACATTTCCAAAACCTTCAAACCAGTCTTACAAAACGTTTAATCCAATGGGGCGATGGTCT